GGCTTCGGACACCCATAGGGACCGCTACAGGTGCTGGTCCTGGGTTATTTCTGCGGGCAGAGAACTCGCAAACCTGCGGCTGAGGCGAGGTGGGAAAGCGTGCTTGCGAGGGAAACGCCCGTCAGCCATTTCCACGGTTGCCCACAAAGCCATGCACGCCCGCAGTGGAAATGCAGTGACCGGTCCCCGTGGAAATGGTGACCGCAGAACAGCGATCAGCCACCGTGTAACCTAAACCTTGCATTAGCATTTATTATGAGCAATTAATACACAGCGTAGACCATATACAGTGGCATGCTGCGGTTCCAACTAGGGCTACAGGTAGAGAACACTGTACCAGTTCATGAAACTATGCCTAACAAATCACTTCAGTATAAAAAACATCCAAACACAGTGTTCTTACTATTTTATTGCCATATATCAAATAATTTGGAACTGGCATGAAGGCCATAAAAATATTATTAAAATCTTTCACAGACATACTAAAACAAAACAAAAACATGCCATCTTAATACAGTAATTCCAGCCCAAGATCTGTCAGGATACGATGCTATGACGTCTGTTTTTATATTTGATGTGGAATGGAGTGAGAGGACAGCAAATGTATCATAGCATTACAGAATCTCAGACTGGTTTGTGTTGGAAGGGACCTTAAAGCTCACCCAGTTCCAACCGGCTGACATGGGCAGGGACACCTTCCACTAGAGCAGGTTGCTCCAAGCCCCTGTGTCCAACCTGGCATGAAGACCAAATGCAAAGAAAAGGCAGCAGCAGCGAGTCAGAGAGAGGCTGTTACAAACATATTTTGTATCTCCACCAAAACAATCTACTAAATACCCCTGACAGCCTGGTGCTGGCACTTTGGAAACACCATGTTACTACACTTCAAATCACTACTTGATGAGAAACAGTGAAAAGACATGAAGCATTAAAACATCCTACACATTTTGAGCATCCTCAAAGGACCATCTGTTTTGATTTCCAAGAATATTTAATGGTTACACAAAATTCAATAAAATACTTTTTAGTTGGAATATAAATTTAAAGCCTAATATCAAGTTACTTTATTGTATCAACATTTTATTAACTAGATCTTAGAACCAACTACAATGCATACATTTGGTTTAGTATTAAAGTGAACAGGGCAACTTATCTCAGTTATTTTATGTCCTTTCTCTATTGCCTGCATTTTCTGATGGGGCTGGAACTAGATGAGGAGGTTAGAACTAGATGATGTTAAGGTCCTTTCCAACCCTAACCATTCTATGATTCTGTGGTTGAATAAAAAAAACTCAACCAAAACCATAATTCTGGGTTTTTTCTAATATTTCAAGGAAAATCGAACTTTGTGTTTTTATTAGTACTCAAGGCAGAACTTGGTCTTGGCCAAAATCACCTCTGACTACATGCTGAAAAAAAGGGGTCAAAGTGGGGTAAGAAAGAATACTAAGGACTTCAAAATGCACATGTGAAAGGGAACTGCAAAATGACATATTAAAGTACATCCAACATCTGTTACTGTGCAGTCAAAGCAGATTGTTTCGCTTCTCCCTTTTGATCAGTCGTGATCATTTATGCTTCCGTTTGCCTTTATAATCTGTTCCTGGTACTTGTGAAGCTGCTCCATGAAGCCGGGATTTGGACAAGCCGGAGGTCTTGCACTTTTCACCAAGGAAAAGGCTCTAGCAAAACTCAGTCTTTCTGAATTCATTAGAAAACCAATGACTACCGCTGCTGCACGGGAGACTCCTGCATTACAGTGGACCAGCACCACACCATCCTTCAAGAAACAAATGAAACATAAGTTGGAACATTCATTAAACAGATAGCAACAAGTATTAGAAACTGTATTTAAGGATCCATTTAGACCTACTAAAAGCTCCTTGCTGGGCTCAGAGCAAATATTTGCACACACCAAACACAAATATACAACCCCCAAAATAAGTATTTTTCTAACCAAAGCCACTTTATAATTACCCAATACTTCAAATCTAATTCATAACTTAGAATAAAAAAAAACATTCCTCTGTCCCTTTCCCCAAGACCTTGCAGCAGCCCCCTAATATAAAAGCCAACTGCAGACATTTGGGATACTAAGATACCTGATCTAATTGGCTGCCAATTTTAAAATAGATTATATTTGCAACATGGAAAGGAACTTGACTGGTTTTTGTTACCAGGTTAAAAACATAGCAAGGCAGCAAACAGCTGGGAACAGAAGCAGATTTTAGAACATCTTGTACTTTCAGTCGCACACTTCTTGTGTACTCTGAAGCTCTTCGATGAAGGTTCTGGATAAGCAGGATCACGCGTAGGAACAGAAAAATCAGAAAAGATACCATAACTTGCAACAAATCTCTACCTCCCTGTCACACCGCCGGTACAACTTTAGCAGCTGGTACAACTATGGTCCCTTACCTGGGGACCAAGGTGCAGAATCCAAAACTACTGAACCTCCCATAAATTGACAAATGTTTCTCCTGGGGGTTAAATTCAGGCTTCTCATGAATTATCAATAAAATTAATAGGTTTATCTTACTTCAACATTTCCCACACAATCTTTGAGACACCCGAATGACTCTTTAAAAAAACACTGCAAGTGTTCTCATTAAGAAATAATTGGTGTGAGTTAACCCAAAGACAACTAGACTGACCTAGTGTGGCTTAGGTGACATTTCCAAGCCCCATGCTCATGCCGTTTGTCCATCAGACTGTGACCTGAAAAAGGCTTGGCCCAAACTGTCTACCAAATGCCACTCTCACAAGAAAAATCCCCCAAGCCCCTAGCACATCCACATTCTGAAGAAAGATTCCAAAACATGACAAAACGTCATGTTTCAGACACTTGAGGCTAAACATATATATTCAAGATAGAAACAGCCTGCTCTGTCTTGCGCTTAACAGGCACGAATTATTCATAGGGCATTTTACCCACAGACCTTGTAACCACCAGGGTTTCTCTCCAGGAACTTGATGGGTTATGTCACAGACTGAGGAGTTGCAATTATCTGGTATATTAACAAACAAACACACAGAGCAGAAAATGGTTCCTGCTCCAAAAATTTTTCCATTAAAAAAAATAAGAAATTGAGTGTTAATATCCTTGTTGAAGACATGCCAAGCTGAGACTAGAAGAATGACTTGCTCAAGTTAACACTGTAAGATTATGGCACCCTTAAGAGCTGACTCTAAGCTCCTGCACCCCAGCACAATGAATGCCAATACCACCCTTTTTTGCAATGGAAATCACATCCCCTTTGCACTGCCTGCTGGAAACTGTCACCCTCATTCCCTTTCTCACATTCACAGGGGCATGTTTCCCAGTCACACAGGCTACAGAAGAGCAGACAGCAGACTTGTACATGTTATTTCAACTACCTGAGGAAGTGCCAGTGATGACCAGTAAATCTACTATCTCCTTTATCATAAGGATGTGAAAATTATGACATCAGAAATGGTATTTATGCCACTGTTAATGAAGCAAATTATGAAGCTTATCCATTGTAGATCTGGAGTAGTTTTTACTGATCTAATGGGATTTATTTCAGACATAACATACCATTATCAAAATTAATTATCTACCAATGACACTCAGGGTAAAAAATAAGCATTCAAAGTGATTATTTTATTTTTCTTTTCACAGTTCATGCTCCATTCTCTTCACGTTTCTTTTAAGGTTGGTTTTTTTGGGTTTTTTTAAATGACTGTTCTGTTGTACACTGCTGTCATGGGTTCAGCTGTAGCAGTCATTTTTATCCTTCTTAGTATACAGTGCAGTGCTGCGTTTTTGACTTTTAGCCTGGCAGCAACGCTGGTAACACCGATGTCTCTAGTTGTGGCTCAGTAATGTTTACTCTGACCAAGGACTTTCTCAGTCTCAGGCTCTGACAGTGCGGAGGGGAAGCCAGGAGGAAGCAGAGACAGGACACCTGACCCAAACTGGCCAAAGGGGTATTCCATACCACAGCACCTCATGCCCAGTATAGAAACTGGGGGGAGTCACCTGGAAGGCCCAGATCGCTGCTCAGGTTAGGCTGGGTATCAGCGGGTGGTGAGCAATTGTATTGTGCATCACTTGGGTTTATTGGTCTCCTTTTCCCCTTTTAGTTTTATATTCTCTCCCCTTGTTATTTTCCCTTATCATTATTATTATTGGTAGCAGTAGTGGTTTTGTATTATACCTTAGTTACTGGACTGTTCTTATCTCAACCCATGGGAGTTACATTCTTCCCACTCTTCTCCCCATCCCTCCGGGAGCAGGGGTGGAAGGAAAGGGGGAGAGTGTGAGAGTGGCTGCGTGGTTCCAAGTTACCAGCTGGGCTTAAAACAACACAATTGCCAAAATTATATAGGGACATTGATGGAACAGATCACAAAATTACTGAACATGAATGAACATGGGCAATAACATAAAATCAGATTTAATACTGAGAACATTTATCTTCCTTTGATAAACCCTGTTGTTTCTTTATACAAAGATTAATTTGGCACATAATTCTTAACTAATTTTGTATTAGATATAAATACAAAATAAAAGTGAGAAATGGACTGCGAATATGACATTAATCTATTTACCAGGAACTCCTTGCTCTGATCCATGTAGCCTAATCTTTGCCTAACCAGAAACGGTCCATGGTCTTGCAAGAACCTCTTAAGATTCGAGACCAAGTTTGGTTTTAACAATTTTATACAGAGGGAAGCAAAATCACCTTCCACCAAGAGAAAAGGTGGCTATACAGTGGTTATATGCAGTAGGCAAAAAGCCTCGCTGAGGAAAGAAATTAAAAAGGAGGATAAAGCTTTTGCTAAAGAGCCATAAATGAATGTAGTTCCTTAGGGATCCACTTCACTTTGCAGTGGTGCTAGGGATTTTTCTTTAGGAGGGAGAGAGGGAGCAATTAAGGAGAGATGGTCATGAAGGAGCCAAGATCTCTTCCCTGGAAAAACAAGATTTTAGAGGTTTTATAATTTGATATTAAACAAAAAGATAGAAATCCCTTATTCACAGCACTGTGATCTGACATGGGTCATGGAAAACCTGCCTGCCAGTCTGGAGCCTAGAAGGTGAGCTCTGATCAGTATTAGAATTTTACCATGATGGCTACAGACTTGGGCAGTTACTGTTTTAGTGAAGTCAACCCTGTCATAAGTACCAGCTGGCAGTGACTTACTGAACAGTGCAGGCTATACTTGCATTCTCAAATTCAAGTGCTTGCATACTCCTTCATTAAGTTAATGATGTTCTAGTAATAATTTCTCATATATCATGTTCTCTCATCAGTGAGCACCTCTCCCTTCTCCATGTAAGGAAATGAAACAATAGTATCTGTGATTACTTAAACAGAAGAGCACTTCATGATACAATTTATCATAAGGTCTTTTAACACTATTTTATCAAAGCAAATAAGGTGATTCAAACCACCCAGAGATCCATCTCCACATACTCCTATTACATGCTTTGTGAAGTGATCCTGGATGCCATCTATTCCATCAATTACCTGCTCTTTCACCCAGTTCTCCCATTAGAAGACTATTAACACTGATATAAAAGTTTTCAGGAAAACTCCGTAGCTTACAAAATAGTAACTGGAACACAAACATCAGAGGCAGAAAGCAACACTATACAGTTATGAATGGCAAGTCTCATTTAGAAATGAAGCTGAAACCGTAACAAGAAACCTTGAAGAGGTCATTAAGTGACAATGTGGATCACATAGCTTGTAAATAATAAATGAGAGAAGGAAAGAACACTGTGTGACTGAAGGAAGATTATCTTCTTTTATCCCCACCTACATAAATAATAAATATGGTAGATATAGTGGAATAACATGCAATGAGGTTTGGTTGTCAAGTCATAGTTTTGATACCAAAGCAATAGTTGTCACAAATTACACAATGAGATGGAATTTAACAAACAGGAGTCAGGGATGGTCTTAGTTACAGACAAAGTCTGCCAAGCAACCCCAGGAGTGTCTTCACCCCATTTCCTAGGTCATGTCTTTTGGTAGCAGTTAAATCCCTGGTTGGCTCCAAGACTACTTAACATTTTCTGACAGTCATGGTACATAATAGTACATGGATTCACAGCCCAATGGATGATCCAAGGGAAAGCACAAGAATGGCAGACTACTGCTGACAAAAACCACAGATCTGTAAAAGCCTCGTTAGGCTTGCTTCTAATTCAAAACAACATCCCCGACAGACAAATTTCAAGTTTCATCTATTTCCTCTGTCAGATGCAGTGACTTGGACTTAGGATGGGATTTCTTTATCTAAAGTCAGCTGTTGGTCCAACTGTATTAAAGAAGTATTTCCCTAAAACATGCAAGACAGTCATCCTGAATAAACAGTGCTGGAGAGAATAGTGATTAAAGCAGTGCCACGTCTCTACAAATGCTTACAAATTGCTTGGATTCTCTATTTAAAATTTAAAAAAGCAGTAGCAAAACTATGAATTTGGTACCATACTTTCTTTTGACAAAAGAAGCTGCTTTAGATTTTAAATACTGTAATAAATAATCCAAACAGGCTAACTACCAACATCAATAATTGATATACCATACCTGCATCTTGGCTTTCTCAATAAACTCAAAACACTCTGGGAAATAAGATATAATATCAGTTTCTGGGAGGTCCAGAATAGAAATGGTCTTGTATATAAAGTCATCAAGGAAGGCATTTTGGACTCCATATGCCACATTTAGAACATGAGTAACCTGAGTCAAAAAGGGGAAAAAAAAGAGAAAAAGGCATTTTCTGAAGATAGCAGGTAAAATGAGCAATAGCAAAGGTGAATTATTCTTTAGACATACATAGACTATACCTTACACAACTGCAGTGTTCAGTTTTACATACATACGCTGTCTGTGCTATGCTTTTCTCCATGCGAAGTTTTAATGTGTGTTAAAATATACTGTGATAAATTTCTGTTTCTTTGGGGTTTTTCTGAGAAGAAATTAAAAGATCCGTGCTCAGCCAAACACAAACTAAAGTAAGGATTTTCAACAGAAAAGGGAGTTCTCAACACAGGTGGAAAATAAAAAATAAAGCAACAGGAATGAGAGCACAGACCACCCAGCAATCCCCCTAACCTCAAGTTTGCCCTAACCGATCAGCTTGACAGTCCTTCTGCTGACGAACACAGCAGAACTAAACAGTACTTGCCAGTGCAGCAGAAGGATTTCAGAGTAAACTATAACTGCGCTTGTCAGGTGAGACCACCTCTGGCCTCCTGTCTTCTTGCCCTGTTCAGGCTACGGCCAGGTCGTGGGTTATTTCAACTTACAGTGAAGTGACACTTAGATGGCACCAGATGCCAGACTGGTGCACATCCTGTCCTGCAGAAGCACCACTGTCCGAAGACCTTATCACCCCATTACTGTAACAGAGAAGAGTAAAAAGACTAAAGTTCAGGACAGACTTAGAGCTCCTGCTTTGTTTTCGTCGTTTCACCCCTCCCCACAAGGCAGGGAGGCCCGACACTGCTCGCTGTCCGGAGCTGAAGCACCTATTTTTTCAGAAATCTGTTCTGTTAAACAGCTCTAACCAGCCACTATTCTTGCAGCAAAGTATTTCAGCTTCTGGTGAAGCTCGCAGGCGTCCATCTCCCTGCAACCAGCAGCCTTGTAAAAATCTAAATGTGATATAATTTTTCTTCTGGATATTTCAGACGTTTTAATTTAGACGCACCAACAAGCACTACGCGAGAGGCATTTCGACTTCCCTGTTACGTTACCTTATGCTTTTTCATCGTCTCCAGGTCGTGAGCAGCATCCTGCGACCCTGGGAAGAAAGCGCGCTGGTCGCTACGCCAGACCCCACCGGCAGGCCCCCGGGCCCGCTCCCCGCAGTGAGCGCTGGCTCTGCGGGGCGAACGAGCGGTAGGCCTGGG